AAGACTGGGAATGACTGGTCACTATGACACACACTGACCACCAGGGGACAGACTCTCAATGCAGGAGCTGCCCTCTGGTGGTCAGGTCGCTCTCACATGGGAGGAGCTCTGCTCAGCCACAAGCCAGGCTGATGGCTGCCAGTACAGCGGTGGTGGTGGGAGCCTCTCCTGCCTCCTCAGCAGCGCTAAGGATGTCCGACTGCAGTTTAGGCCTGCTCCCCGCTGGCAAGTGGACATCCCCCGAGGGCTGCCGGGCTGCCAGAAGGATGTCTGATTGCCATCTTAGGCCCAATCCCCCGGGGAGCAGGCCTAAGCCAGCAGGTGGTCATCCCCTGAGGGGTCCCAGACTGCGAGAGGGCACAGGCCGGGCTGAGGGACCCCCCCCCTCCCTGAGTGCACAAATTTTTGTGCACCAGGCCTCTAGTCTATATATAAAAGCCTAAGCAACCAGCCAATCAGCCGGTAGCTATGACGCACAATGACCACCAGGGGGCAGATGCTCAACACAAGAGCTGCTGAGTGATAGCAACTTTGCAGAGTGCCCTCTCCCACTCCAGGATCCCTTGGGGAATGTCAGACTGCTGGTTTCAGCCTGATCCCCACAGGCCAGGCCGAGGGACCCCACCTACTGGAGGGACCCCACTCTGCAGATGCCCTTCGAGCCCTGGCACCACCCCAGGTGCGGCCGGCTAAGGAGGGATGGTGGGAGGTTAGCTCCAGGGCGTGTCCGGCCCATCTTGCCCAGTCCCACCCCACCAGCCACCTTCTAATTAATTTCCTTTCAATGTGCACGAATCTGTGCACCGCGCCTCTAGTAATAAAATAAATTAAAATGCACAGAATAACTGAATAGACATTTTTTTCCCAAAGAGGACAAATGGCCAATAGGCATATGAAAACATGTTCTACATCAATAATCAGGGAAATGCAAATTAAAACCACAATGAGATATCACCTCACAACTGTCAGAATGGCTATCAGCAATAAATCAACAAGTGTTGGCAAGGACGTGGAAAATAGAGAACCCTCATGCAACTGTTGGTGGGATTGTAAATTGGTGCAGCCACTATGGAAAACAGTATAGACTATCCTCAAAAAAATTAAAAATATAACTATCATTATGACTCAGCAATTCCACTTCTGGGCATTTATCTGAAGAAATCTAAAACACTAATTCAAAAAGATATATGCATCCCTATGTTCATTGCAGCATTATTTACAATAACCAAGATATATGGAAGCATCCTAAGTGCCCATGGATAAAGAAGATGTGGTACATATACAATGGGATATCACTCAGCTATAAAAAAGAATGAAATCTTAACATTTGCAAGAACATAAATAGAACTAGAGGGTATTATGATAAGTGAAATAAGTTAGACAAAGACAAATACCATATGATTTCACTTATATGTGAAATCTAAAAATAACAAAATAAATGAACAAACAAAACAGAAACAAACTCATATCCTAGAGAATACAGAGAACAAATTGGTAGTTGTCAGCTGAGAGGGGTGTTGGGGAATGGGTGAAAAGCTAAAAGGGAAGCACAAATTGCCAGTTATTAAAATAGTCACAGGAATGAAAAGTACATTATAGGGAATATAGTCATTAATCCTATGTAATAAAAGGCTGATATGCAAATTGTCCCCTCATCTAGGAGTTCGACTGGAGGTTTAACCAGAGGATGGGGCCGGCCTGCCAACCACCTGCGGCCCCTCCCCCTACCTGTCCTGGCCCGATTGGCCCAATCAGGGCAGGCCAGCCGAACCCCACCCATGCACGAATTTGTGCACTGGGCCTCTAGTTTTGTAATAACTATGTATGCTGTCAGATGGGTACTAGACTTACCAGGGTGATCACTTTGTAAGGTATATAAATATCTAATCACTTATATCTAATCACTATGTTGTAAACCTGAAACTAATATTATATGTCAACTGTATTTGAAAAATACATTTTAAAAATAAATATTGCTTATAAAAATATAAAATAAAAAGAAGACTAAAATAAGTAAAATCAGAAATGAAGAAGGGGACATTTAACCAATGTAACAAGAAAACAAAGGATTTATAAGAGAATCCTATAAATAATTGTATACCAACAAATTGGATAACGGAGACACTCAAGATTGAATCAGTAATTTAAAACCTGACGAAGCCCAGGCTGAGATGGTTTCACTGGAGAATTCTACCAAACATTTAAAAGAGAATTAACACCAATCCTCCTCACACTCTTCCCAAAAAGCGAAGAGAGAACACCACTGCAAGAAATGAAAACTACAGACCAATGTTCCTGATGAATATTGATGCAAAAATCTAACAAAATACTAGCAAAGAAAATTCAATAGCACATTAAAAGGATTATGCGGGATATTCCTGGAGTGTAAATATGTTTCAAAGTACAAAAATTGGTCAATGTAATACACCACATTAAAGAATGAAGGGGGAAAAAACATGATCATCTCAATTGATACGTAAAAAGCATTTGATACAATTAAACACCCTTTCATGATTAAACACACACTCAGCAAATCAGGAGTAGATGAAAGCTACCTCAATGTAATACAGGCTATACATGAAAAGCCCACAGCTAATATCATACTTGATGAAAGACTGAAAGCTTTTCCTCTAAGAAACAAGACAAGGATGCCTACTTTCACCACTCCTATACAACATAGTACTGAAAGTCCCAGCCAGAGCAATTACGCAAGAAAAAGAAAAGGCATCCAAAGTGGAAAGGAAAAGTAAAATTATCTCTGTTTACAGATAACATGATCTTATATGTAGAAAACCCTAAAGATTCTATACACAAAAAACCTGTTAGAACTAATAAATCCAATCAAATTTAATAATATAAAAGCAACATGCAAATATAAGTTGCATTTCTATACACTAAAAATGAACAATCTGAAAAGGAAATAGAGAAAACAATTCCATTTACAATAGCATCAAAAATAATGAATACTTAGGAATAAAGTTAACCAAGGAGTTGAAAGAGTTGTACCTTGAAAACAATGAAACACTGCTATAAGAAATTAAAGAAGACACGAATAAATGGAAAGACATCCTGTTGTTCATGGATTGAAAGACTTTATATTGTTAAGATGTCAATACTGCCCTAAAACAATATATAGATTCAATGCAATCTCTAAAAAATGCCTTTTTTTTGCAGAAATAGAAAAATCCATCTTAAAATTCATATGAAGTCTCAAAGAACCCAAACAGTCAAAACAATTTTGAAGAAGAACAAGGTTGGAGATTGCACATGTCCTATTTCAAAACATATTACAAAGCTACAGTAATCAAAACAATGTGGTACCAGCATAAAGACCGACATATAGACCAATGGAATGGAACAGAAAGCCCAGAAATAAACCCTCATTGTATGATCATATAATCTTTGACATGAGTTCCAGGACCATTCACTGAGGAAAGGACAGCCTCTTTAACGAACTGTGCTGGGAAAACTGGATATTCACGTGCAAAAGAATGAAGTTAGACCTTTACCTTACACCATATACAAGATTTAATTAAAATGGGTTAAAGACCTCAATATAAGCACTAAAACTATAAAATGTCTAGAAGAAAACATAAGGGGAAAAGCTTTGGAACATTGGATTCGGCAGTGATTTCTCAGATATAACACAACACCAAAGCAAAGGCAAAAGAAAAAAATTGACAAATGAAACTACATCAAACTTAAAAACTTCTGTGCATCAAAGGGCACAATCAACAAAGTGAAAAGGCAACATATGTAATGGGAGAAAATATTTGCAAATCATATATTTGGTAAGGAGTTAATATCCAGGATTTATAAAGAACACCTTCAACTCAACAACAACAAAACAAACCTGATTATAAAATGGGCAGGGGGTTTGCATAACATTTTTCCAAAGATGATATACAAATGGTCAACAAACATATGAAAAGATACTCAGCATCAGTAATTCATAGAGAAATGCAAGTCAAGACCACAATGATATTACTTTATACCCATTAGGATGGCTAAAAACAAAACAGAAAATAAGTGTTGGAAACATGGAACAGACCGACGAATCTCAGAGGGAAGGCAGGAGGGGGTTCAGGAAGATTAACCAAAGAACTTATATGCATATATGCATTACCTATGGACACAGAGAGTAGGCTGGTGAAGGCCTAGGGTGGGGTGAGAACTGGGTGGAGTGGGGGCAATGGGGGCCAAAAAGGACATCTGTAATTCTCTCAAAAATAAAGATTTAAAAAACAAACAAAAGAGTAGACAGCCCAAAGTGGTCTTCCCTAATTTTTCTGCTTACTTCTCTTAATATGAGAACCACAAAAATACTGGTGTCTAATTAGAAAGTTATTATTAGACTAGAGGCCCAGTGCATGACATTCGAACACCGGCGGGGGGGGGGGGGGTGTCCCTCAGTCCGGCCTGTGCCTTCTTGCAGTCTGGGAGCCCTCGGGGGATGTCCAACTGCCGTGGAGACAGGAGAGGCTCCCGCCACTGCTGCTGAGCTCGCCAGCCGTGAGCCCGGCTTCTCGTTGAGCAGCGCTCCCCTGTGGGAGCACACTGACCACCAGGGGGAAGCTCCTGTATTGAGCGTCTGCCCCCTGGTGGTCAGTGCACATCATAGCGACCGGTCATTCCGTTGTTCGGTCGATTTGCATATTAGCCTTTTATTATATAGGATGACATAAGAATTCATATAGATGCTTATGTAGTAATGTATTCCGAATAGTGTTGACCACCATTCTTTCTATGTAAAAAAATGGGATAGTCTTCATCATAAGGTTCATTTAACTACTGAATTTCAGAATTGTGAAATCTGGATTTTAAGACTAGAACTAAATTATTGACTAGAGAATAGAAGAAAAAGTCATTTACTTATAAAAACCATGCGTATATATTTTTTTATCTTACATTTCTCATAGGAGAAAGTACATGTACATTCATTTTCTCATAATACCTAACAAGAAGAAATGCTTATTTCTTTTAAAATACTTCAACTACTCACTAACATCAGTACCTGAAAATTTTTCAATATTTGTTAATATTGAAAAAAAAATGTTCATGTTTGTTACCACTTCTTAAGAATGAAGGCGACCTGACTTCCTGTTTCCGGTGTTAATTTGCATCATGTTAGAAAGAAGGAATAGGCAGGGGTTCCAGGAAGGTGTGATGAGACTGAATTCGGTTTAGAAGCTGCTGTGCCACAGGCTTGAATTCTGTTTCCCAATGAAGTTTGTGATAGTTTTTTAGGTCTTGGTCAAAACTGCCATCCAGTGCTAGTTCTTCGTCTGTATCGGAAAAGTTAAAATTACAGCAATTATTTGAAAATATAATCCTATTGAATAAAGTTTAATTTTTGATGGCAACTCATCCTGGGTCATCCCTAATTCCAACATGACACAGCTAGGATTTGTGGGTTAAAGGGCTTTTTTTTCTGATTTTGTTTAGACAGGCTTTTTCTTAGAGAAGTTCTTTACTCTCTGTTCTTTTTTTTTTTTTAAATATATTTTATTGATTTTTTACAGAGAGGAAGGGAGAGAGATAGAGAGTTAGAAAGATCGATAAGAAGGAAACATCGATTAGCTGCTTCCTGCACACCTCCTACTGGGGGTGTGCCCGCAACCAAGGTACATGCCCTTCACCGGAATCGAACCTGGGACCCCTCAGTCCGCAGGCCAACGCTCTATCCACTGAGCCAAACTGGTTACTACTCTCTGTTCTTTACAAATATTTTACAATAAGTATATTTTAGTCTCTTAATAAAAAAGGACAATAATCTTCTCAAACAATTCTAAATTGCATTGAGCTTTTATTTCAACTAATCTCCTATGTGTATAAATAAGTCCCCATCCAAAAGTCAGGTCACAATTGCTCAGAACAAAGTATTAATAGGCCACTTCCTTACCTGTGCATTAAAAAAGTTAATTACTTCAGTGGTTGGCAGATATTAAAGGAGTCAGGAAATCTTTTGGGAAAGTAGCACAGTTGCGTTTGACACTTAAAACTTTACAAAAAATAAATTTGCTGTCTTCAAAGCAGCCTGGACATACTTCCTTAAAGAGACAACCACCTGGCCCTATGTTCTGACCCATAACAGTGAAAAGTGGGAGAATTTGAGTATCCCAACGAGTATGAGAATTCCAAGTGAGTCCATGGATAATGCAGAAAAGCACTTGTAAAAAAAAATGCAAAATTACAATTTTAATTAGCTTCTTACTCCAAAGACATCCTGAATTCTGTAAACATCTCAAGTATATCTATCCAAGTAGGGAGATAAATGGCCACTAAGGCTTGTGGCTGGCCCGCCGCCGCCGCGTTTTCGCTTGTTTATAAGGGGCCTCACACCCCAGGTGGAGCACTGTAGGAAAATGCCCTGGCCTGCCGGTCAGAAGACGGGCTCTGCCACTTGCCAGGTCTGTGGCGGAGGTAGACTTCTTAAATGGTAACCACTAAGTCCTAAAATGACAACAAATATGGCTACTTACATTAATTTGGAAACTTTCCTCATGGGGCTAATTAAAATCCCTTTATAGACTGCTTCATTACTGTGTACCCAGATTGTCTGCACTGAGTATTTCTGTACACTCTGTGTACTTTGACACTATTGGTGTCCCACCCAGCGTAAGGTAAGGGAGTCTGGATTCCAGCATGTGCATTCCCCTCCTCTCTCCTCCTCACCTCTCCACCCAGTGGGCAGCTCTGAGAGAAGTGCTGGGCAGACACTTCGGCAAGGCGCCCCGGGAGCAGATCTGGATGCCCCCACCCACAAAGCAGCCAGGCCTCGGGAGGAGGGCGCTGACAGTGTGTGACGCCTTCACCGGCCCTCCCATCGGGCTCCTTCTGCACAAGCGGAGTCTGTGAGACTCCGTGGTTTCAGAGTTCCAGGTCTTTCTCCTGCTCACTCTTCCAGATTTTCTGAGCCCTAAACTTGCATTTAGAAATGAATTCTCTTGCCCTCGCCAGTTTGGCTCAGTGGATAGAGCATCGGCCTGTGGACTGAAAGGTCCCGGGTTCAATTCTGGTCAAGGGCACATGCCGGGGTTGCAGGCTCGATCTCCAGTAGGGGGCGTGCAGGAGGCAGCCAGTCAACGATTCTCTCTCATCATTGATGTTTCCATATCTCTCTCCCTCTCTCTTCCTCTCTGAAATCAATAAAACTATATTTTTTAAAAAATGAATTCTCTTGTTTATGCCCTTCTTTCCTAAGACGCTTAGGGCTGAGGGCTACCCATGCCCCTCACAGTCCCTTCCTCTGCCCAGGCCTTGTTTGGAGTTGGTGGTTTTAGCAAACCTCTATTTTGATGCTTTAGAAAAAATATCTAGCCCGGCTGGCATGGCTCAGTGATTGAGTGTCGACCTATGTACCAGGAGGTCACAGTTCAATTCCCGGTCAGGGCACACATGCCTGGGTTGCAGCCGGTCCCTAGTGTGGGGTGTGCAGGAGGCAGCCGATGAATGATTCTCTTTCATCATAGATGTTTGTCTTTCTCTTTCCTTCTCCCTTCCTCTCTAAAATCAATAAAAATATATTTTTAAAAATATCTAATATCAAGACTATGTTACTTTTCTTGGGGCTCAGCCTATTATTAGTTAATCTATACTTGGACCCTATTAACTCTAAACTGAGTTAGACAAGATAATAAAAGTGGCCAAATAGCTACAGGTAAGAGAAAAGCAAGCTGAAATTTCAAAGTAAACACAGTGAATGCAATACATTTTTTAAATGCCATATGACACTAGGTATAAAAATGTGTAACTTGTAGTACAAAGAGTGGCAGAGGCTAATGCAAGAAAAATTTAGATTTTATCATCTTTAAGCTTTTTTTTTTACCATGACTTAAGAAATACATATTACATTATAACTGTACACATATTTCTCTACAAGTAAACAAATGTCTTATAATCGAATACTTATCCTTATGCGTGTTATCTATCCTGATATTTTCTTCTTTGCTACTTCATTTGTTCAAGATGCTGGTCACAGTGTGAAAAGCACTGATTTAGAAAACTAATCCCTCCTCAGCGCTCCGTGTGCCCAGCACACTTCCAAATACGAGTGTTTCGGCAGTGTATTAGAGAGGATCAGTGGTCAGTGGTCAGTGGTCACTGTAACAGTCTCCATAACTGATGTCTCACAGCATCATGAGGAGCTCTCAGCTTGCTGCTCAGCACCAGGTAGCTCCTTAAAGGCCCTGGTATTGCCCTATGTTCTTATAAGGCCCAGTCCCCGCATGTTCGGGAGCATCTGCTGGCTCTTTGGCTGGACCATGGGACTCTCTGACTTGCACGCTGGGCCCCACTCCACCCCTTGCCGTGCAGCCTAGCTGCTAAGTTCCATGTACCTCATAATGGACATAAAAGCCCAGCGCGTTTTACACGCACAGTGATAGCCTGCACACTCTGGTGGCCGGTTGCCATCTCCGCTGAGAGAAGCTCCTGGTAGAGGAATGTGCTAGGTCCCAGCACTTAAAACTTGAAGGTAAACACGCTGCTAATGAGTTTATAAGAAGTGATTGTAATACCTCAGGAGGTTTTAGACAACATTCTTTTTAAACACTTTCCAAAAAGACTGCCAACATCCTGGCATCCCAACCATGTAGTGGACCATTACTTTATCCTTTTTCCCCCCAGTACCCATCAAGAAAAAGTTGGGTAACATATTAATTTATGAATTGCCTTGCCATTATTTCTAAAAACAGTGCTCACACTTCAACAAGACTCTGTTATTTAACAGCTCATCCTGTTTTCAAAATGGCCTGTTTTTTAGCTATCTTTGTAAAAGAATTGAAATTCAAATACACTCTAGACTTCATATGCATTTCACTTGCTGCCACCCAACTAACAGGCCAGACACAGCTACCACCCTGTCAGAAGTAAGGGGTCTGGGGTCCACACTGGGGAGAGAAAAGCCAGGCCTCAGGGCATGATCCCGTGAGGAGTCCTGAGGCTGTGCTGGCGTCCGGCTGCCTGATGGGCCGTGTTTCCTTTTATGAGCCATGCCACAGCCCCTTCCACGGCAGGGTAAGGGGGGTACCATGCCCTGGAACAGCAGAAAAGCACAGGGCCAGATGCTTGTCTTCTGGTGGGAAGTCCTGGCTTTGCTACACTCTGACCCTAGGCAAGTCACTTAACCCTCTTAGACCTCCTTTCCTCTCCTGTCGCCGAGCTGATGACCTCAGAGAGATCCTCTGAGGTTAGAATGAACACGCTTTTGAGAGTATCCAGCACTATTAAAACAAAGGCACCACTCACGTGAGTCAATCCACAAGCATTTACCAAGAACCTACTGCGTATGAGGCAATATCCTTTCCCTAAACTGGCCCAGTTGGAGTGGGGAAATAAGATAAAAGACACAAAACAATAGCACAGGAGAAGTCACACAGCTCAAGATTAACGGCTATATGAGTACAGATTTCCGACGATTAGACAGGGGGCTTGAAAAGCTCTCTGAGAAGGGCCTGGCAAGGCAGGTCAGGCATGTGCACCTTAAAGGTGCTGGGACTGGGGAAGCACATGCGGAGGCCGACGAGGCTCTAAGGCAGTGGTTCTCCACCTTCTGGCCCTTTAAATACAGTTCCTCATGTTGTGACCCAACCATACAATAATTTTCGTTGCTACTTCATAACTGTAATGTTGCTACTGTTATGAATCGTAATGTAAATATCTGATATGCAGGATGGTCTTAGGCGACCCCTGTGAAAGGGTCGTTCGACCACCAGAGGGGTCGAGGCCCACAGGTTGAGAACCGCTGCTCTAAGGGGAGGCTGAGGGTGGGGCGTGGTAGGCCCGCTGCCCCCGGGCCTGCTGGGTGTGCTGCCCTGCTGAAAAGCCCGCCATGCCCACGCCCCCTTCTAAGCATCCTTGTGCCCATGGTCCCTCATCCCCATTAGTTATGGCTGACTGCCCAGACTTAGGTGCCAAAGGAAGCCACAGAGAGCCTGTGGCGGAGGCAGCCGCTGCCTAAGGCACGCAGCCCTACGGCCTAGAGAGCGACTCTCGCACCCAATCACACCTTCTCCCCAGATGGGAGACAGAGGATGCTCCCACAGCAGGGCAACCGCAGTCGCGCTCGCTGAGAACAGTAAGGTAGTTGAAGCCCTGAATCGGCAGGAGCCGGGAGGGCAGGGGGAGAAAGGGCCTTTCCCGCTGCAGCAGAGACAGAGTGAGCTGGGCCTCCTGCAGGGCAGGGCGATGGTGCCTGCCACAGAGGGGCCTGGGGACTCTGGATCCTCCTAGGGCACCTCCCAGGGGCCCTCTGGCAGGCTTTGGCACCCTGCTGGCTTCCTGGCTTCCTCCTCGGTGCCCCCTTCCCTTTAACTCATTAACCAGGGCACAGGTTCTTCTCAACCCGGCCGCATAGCAGACTCACCTGTGAACCTTGTTACAAACAGGTTATGGACCTCACCCCAGAGCTCCCGAATCAGAGTTCCGGGGGATGGGGCCAGGATAAGTGTGTTTTTCTTAAATTCCGCAGCGGATCCCACTGCTCTGCCACAAGACCTGAGTGAAGGCAAGTTGCTCCGGGCCACAGGGCGAAAGCATAGGGTTCACAGAGCAGATGGCAAACCTCAGGGATTTAAATCCCTCTTGTCTATCCTTACTCTCAAACGCACAACATTATATTTATCTGGAAGGTAGCACACCTTCTAGTGCTAAGTTCCTGTTTAACCCCACGTCGTTACAACACTCAGGATTTACAAAGCGCTTCACGACCACGTTTCGAGGGCTTGCCCCCTGTCAGGCTCTGTATCAGGCTCTTTCTACAGGTCGGCTCGTTTCTCATCCAGCAGCTCTGCGAAGTGGACACCAATCGTCCCTGTCTTAGCGACCAGGTCCTCTCAGGTGAGGGAGGCTAAAACCTCTCTTGTAAGTGCCAACACAGGGACTTAAACTCAGAACCTGCTGGATCTCTCCCCTGTGCTCTCAGATGTTCGTTTGGTCCTCGTGACTCCCTGCAGCCGGGCAGCAATGAGCAGGGCCCCGTTTCAAAGGTGAAAAGAGGTTCTGAGAGATTCTCTCATCAAACGACGCCACCTGAACCCCAGCTCACAAGCAAACGGCGCCTTTCCACAGCCCTTGCCGGTGCAAAACTGGCTGGGCGAGGGCAGGCCCTTCTCCGTTCGGGGAAAGAGGGTTATTGAAAACACTCATCTACTGCCCCCAGTCCCTGTGGTTAGGCCTAGCCCAGCATGAGAACAATTCTTCTAAAAATGGGCATTTTAAACATGGAAGAAGCTGTCCTCTTTCCTCCGGTGTGTATCAGTGATTTCCCACCTTCAGGGCATGGGCCCCGCTGTGAGGGCAAGCAGTTTCAGACGCCCCGAGCAATCGGACAGTGAAGCGCAGGGTGCTCAGCTGACCAGTAACACAGCTGCTCACTACCGAGTATAGTGTCCCTTAGCAGCATGACTCAATTCAGAGTAGCTTTTAGCCACATTTTCTCAATTACAACGATGTGCATGTACCTTTAAACAATAGCAGCTTATATTTATGCAATCTATAGGAAAAGCAAAGAGAGAGAGAAGAGAAAAGCCACAGAAGAAAGCACGACAGTGTCCAATGAATTAAGTTTTTGTGCCCCCAATTGCAAATAACATTCAGCCCCTCCCAGATATTTCTAAATTATAATCATCTTTAACAGGCTGCTGTTGCTTGTAGAAATATAACCACCCAAATGCATACCAATCTTTAACCACACAGGGCACAGGAAAAAAATTAATCTTCCTTTGAGAACACTTACAGACTCACAGCGAGGAGGCTTACCTAAGAATGACGACAGCAGGACTAGGAGCGTGCTCGTGTCTTCATCTCCAAAACACGACGAGGCGTTCGTGGTGTTTTCACTGAAGTTCCACAACGTTTTGCAAACTAAGCAGGCCAGCTGCCAGTCGGTCGGACCAAAGTCTCTCAAACAATCCACTAACCTGGGGTAACGGAAGTCAAATTGCGAAGTTATTAGGCCAGGCTCTCTTTAACTTGCACATTTCTAGCACAATGATGATTATCCTTCTGCAATATTTAATGTGTAATGTGTATAATCCAGTGATTCTTTACAATATTTTCATATCTACAAAGGTAAATGGCTACAAAGTCACCGTAATCTACTTCTGAATCAGTGTAAGGGTCCAGTGGGACCTAAGTCCCCTCTTTGGCCCTAACTCAGCTCTTCCAAACGCTGAGATCCTGCTGTCCCGGAGGAATGGCCAGAGGGGCCTAAACTCCCCGGAGAGCTGTGCCCTCTGAATCCTGAGAGAGTCGGGACTCTGTGCCTGGACACTTACTTTTTAACGCCGCCTCCTTCCTTTAGGATGGCGTGCTTGTCTTTATCCACGGTGAGGTTCAGGAGAACGCCGCAGGCAGAGAAGCACATGTCCTGATGCGTGGCGTCCAGCAGCGCGATCATGAACTTGTGTACTGGGAGGGCAGAGAACACACGTGGGCCCGTAAAGCGCGGGTGCTCAGCTGTGGCTCATTCCCCCTTATTGAAGGGGAAAGGGCAAAGGGGGAATGGGCGTGGCTTGCAAAACTGCAAACCCTGCCAGGGGGTTTAACCCTTTCTGCCTAAGGCATCGCCCATTGCCCAGCAGTGACCTGCTCCCACCCCAGCTCCTCTGTCCCCAGGCACAGCTGCATCTGACCCCGAGAGCGCTCCCTCTCACGGCTGCGGCTGTGGTTGAGTCCCTGCCGGTGGAAAAGAGGGAACCATGGACTCCAGCCACGCAGGTGACGCTCATCTTTAACATCTCACGGGCCTTTTTTTAAAAAATATATATTTTTATTGATTTCAGAGGGAAGGGAGAGGGAGAGAGCGATAGAAACATCAATGATGAGAGGGAATCATTGATTGAATGCCCCCTGCACACCCCACACTGGGGATTGAGCCCACAACCCAGGCATGTGCCCTGACTGGGAATCGAACCCTGAACTCCTGGTTCATGGGTCAAGCTCAACCATTGAGCCACGCCGGCCGGGCTCACGGGCCTTTTGGAATCTCCAGCAGCATTTTTCTCTAAATACACAGCCCTGGCGAGAGCTCCTGATGATATCTTCCCCCAAGTCCTCCAGGGCCACAGAAGTCTTCATCAGAACCCTGGAAACCGGGCTGTGGCCAGGCAGGACTGCCTGGGCTGGGGACATCGCAAGTGAGGGCCTCTCCCCGCCTCTGGGAAGCGGTTTCCCTGACTCCTGGGAATGGGACTCTTTGTCTTGTTTTCCAGTCCCCAGCAGGGCCTGGGGCAGGGCTGGGGAGAAGGGACAGGTGTGTTCTCTGCCTCCTCCCGTTTTCCTGCTCACCTGGGAGGTGGCCACCCTGTTCCGACCTGGGCCCCACGGATGGGCCCGGGGGTGAGCTTGGCAAAGGCTGCCTCACACACGTGTGTTCCTAAGAGTCTAAAGACCGTACACCAGGATGGAGGAGTTACCTCTGCAGAAGTGAGATGGTGCGAGACAGCCTGTGCTGCTGTTCCTCTGTCTCTATCATCTAAATTTTCTGCCATAAACATGGGTAATTGGGTATTTGTGGAAGAGAAAGGGGTGCTGTGATAAATCATAAATCCTTAACTGGGAAGGCCGTGGAGGGCAGCCACACCCCAGGCCTATACCTTCTTTCCTTAAAGGTTTTAAGCCAGGCCCTGTCCACTGGTCTGCTGCATCGAGGGCCACACACCTTTGAGATGCCAGAAGTAACACGCCTCAGAGGGGTAACACCCTTAAGAAAGCATATCATCTTGTGGCCCAGTTCCCGCCTGGCTTTCTCCCACCCTCACCTAATTCTCCTTACACCCCTTCCTTACTTTCAAATGCACAAGAGAACCCACAAACTTGTTATTCTCAGGAGCATTTGAGATTTTGCTCCCCAGTGCATGGTGTCAGTTTGGCTCAAATCAGCTCATAAAAATTCTCTACCGGTTTGGACATTTCTTACATCAACATATTTTTAGTTATTAATCTTACACGAGCTATTTGAAACATATAAAGGATGGCTAGTATAAACTCGTGTGTAACTGCCACCCAATGTAAGAAAGGTCTGAATTTGCAAAGGAAGATGGAGATCAAATGTATTCAAAAGAGAAAGGACCACTGTACATATGAAACTTTCTTTTTCAAGGAAGAAAACATTACAAATCCAATTTTATACCTGGACATTCCTTCCCCTCCAAAGATAACTTCTACCTGAAATGTGGAGTTTATACATTCCAAATACCATTGATACCTTACACCATTATTACATGAGCATATGACATAAACAATACCCAAGATTGTTTTGCATATTTTAAAACTTGCCTTAATGGCATTATTCTGTATATATCCCCCTATCACTAACATTTTAGCTCCTAGCTTATGTGTTTGAGGTTGATCCATGTTGGTCCATGAACCACTAGTTCATTTATTCGTTACTATAGGACATTTTATGGCACAAATAAACTACAATGTGCTTATCCTCTTGCCTGTTGATGGTCACTTAAGTTGTTTCCATCTTTTGCTATGACAAGCAGTACTGTAATGGGCATTCTAGTACTTAAAGGAGACCGTCTCTTGAGTAACTATTCCCAAGGACAGAAATGAGCAAATGAGTATAGATGACTTTCTCTTTCTCTCTCTCTCTCTCTCTCTCTCTCTCTCTCTCTCTCTCTCTCTCTCTCTCTCTCTCTCCTTTCTCCTCTCTCCTGTCTCAGATATCAGAAGACCTCTCACGAGGGAGAGGGATCCGGAGAACATGCCTAGTCCCTCTTGGCATCCTGATCTGACAGCCGAATTACTACGTGCGGAACAGAATGTAAGGCACTCATTCCTCCCAAAGCGGAAACAAGCGTCACATTGTCGTGGCCCAAGCTCTGAGACGGCGCCGCTGTTTTCTGGCAAGAAGTGCATGTTTATGGACACAAGTGTCAGTAACTCACCGTTCCTCCGCACAATGAAATCGCAGACGTCATGGTCCTGGGAGAGATTTCCAAACACACGCACAGCCTCCAGGACTCCATCCATGTTCTTACTCACGAGAAGCTTTACAAGCACTGGGTTTGGTGACCAAAGAGTAAAATCAGTGAATTTAAGTTTTGATTTAAAGGCGATTGGAAACTAATTATCAGTAGCACAATAATCATAGTAAATACTGATACTGATAATTCAAAAATTAAAAATGATAATAAAATGCAAACTGCAGGGGCCTTCAGCAAGAATTAAGATGCTAACTTTTCTGCACAGTCTAATTTCCCAGAATCAAATCAGGCTCTTAGATATTTGTGCCAGGAAATGAGAAGATATGAATGGTTCTAGTACTGTGTTTAGTTAATAAAATCAAAACCTTCGATGAACATGCCTCTACCCAAACCCAACTCTGAACCTTACATTCAGCAACATGTAGCTTTTGCTCTTGAATCACAGAGTTCTTCACTTGGTAGTAAGATAAGTTGTTGATTGTTGCTGTAGTATTGATCACCAGCTCCTCACAGTCATCATTGACTTGTATTCTGAAACAAAGTAAGGGTGTCACAGACGCATCGCAGGGGCAGTAACAGTGCCGTCCTCTCAGCAGCCACAACCCCAGCGGCAGCAGGGATGTGCCCTTGTGCTGGGCAAGGTCTGTGCAGGCAAGGTCTTGTGCTGGGCAAGGTCTGGGCAAGGTCTGTGCTGGGCAAGATCTGTGCAGGGCAAGGTCTGTGCTGTTTGCTGCCTTATTTCCATGGCCCTTCCTGCAGGGAAATGCGCCACATGCAGGGGCCTCCTCCTGCCCAGGGTTTAGAACACTAAGTCCCATCCCTCCAACCGAGGGGTCTGGGAAAGTCCAGGCCCTGTGTCTGCAGTAAAACAAGGGTGCCGACGCACCAGTGAGCGCAGCCGTCTCTAAGCCCCCTGGTTCACCCTGACCCAAAACACACAGACGCTGGCCACTTCTCACCTGCTCTGCTACAATCTAGCCCGTCTCTCACCCCTAATTGGCTTCTCTTCATCCACCTTTGCCTCCCTGAGTCTATCCTCAGAAGGGTTATACTTTAAAAGTCAGTCAGATAACGTCATTGCTCTCACTTGGCCCCCAGACCCTCTCTGGGCTGCCTGAGTCCTGACCTCTCTGGCCTCATCTGCTGCTCCAGCCCCCAGCGCCCCCAGACCGACAGCACTGGTCTGTGTGCTCTTTCTGAACATGGCAGATGAGCCTTTCTGAGAATGTTGGCATGGCTGTTCCCTCTGCCTGGAATGTATCCTTTTCCCAGTTGCCCACTTAGCTCACTCCTCACATGCTTTGGGTTGTTGCTCAGATGTCACCTTATTGGACCGTTTCCTTAATCACCCTATATAAAATGGCACCCATCATTCTCTCTGCTCCTGACCCAACTTCAATGTTTTCCATAGAACACGTGACCACTTGACTTATATGTTTAACATATGTCTTCTAGCCCTAAAACTTAAGTTCCACGAGGACTAGTAATTCATCTGTTTTATTCATTGCTACATTCCCAGCATCTTAAGCAGCGTTTGCCATATAGGGAGTGCTCAATAACTAGTCAATGAATGCAAGAATAAGTGAATGAATCAATGACTAAATGAATGAATGAGTGAATGAACCTTTTAGCTTAGCACACAGACCCTCAGTAATTCTGCCCCTGCCTTCCACTCAGCCTCCAGACTTATCTGGCCACAGTGCAGAGAAGGGCAGAGGCAAGGATGCCGGTGAGAAGCCTCCTGTGGTAGTCAGATGCCGAATCATGTAGCTTAGGCTTGGGTGGTGGTGGGGATGGAGCACAGTGGACAGACTGAAAACTATTTCGGGAGGAAAATGGAGAGTATGAGGTGAAGGCTAGATTGGGGGGTGAGGGAGAAGACTCCCCCCGTGTGATCCCTGGGTTTCTGAATTACATAAGTGGATGAACATAACCCGGAAGAGGGTCCAGTTGGGGAGAAGGTCATGAGTTGAGCTTTGATATCTTGAGTTGCCTTTGAAGTACCCACATTTGGTGAGGGGTAAGCTGGACATAAGGTCTGGCAGTCAGAGGAAGTCACACTGGTTACACTGAGCCAACTACAGCAACGTGAGCCAGCCTCTGCCTCTCACCTCCGACCCTGCACATCCCCCCCACCCCTGCCCCAGCCTGGCAGGGAGCTACCTCCACACCTGCACACACCTTGGGACCGTGCCTGGTTAAGTGCCTTTTACCTCTTGTATGAAACCAAACTTCCTCAGGGAATAAGAGGGAGGCGGTGAGCTGAGCAGGGGACGTGCTAGCTCTTATGTTTTCTGATTTCTCTCGCCTTTTGGCCTTCTTTTCATGAAAGAGAATGGCCTCTTATAGCTTACTCTATTCAAAGGAAGATTCAGTCATTCATATGCTACAGAAAACATATTCTCACTTATTCTGTCTTTCTCCAAGTATTCATGGAGCGTCTACTATGTCCCGACTCCCATGCTGGCCTTGTGGGTGGGAGCGCCACTGGCCGAAGGACCAGTGTGTGTGTTCAGATGGAGTTACTTGATACGTTTGGACTTGCTTGGGACCTGACAACCAAAACTTTGTTTCTATTTCTCCCTTCTGGAACGAGAATGTCTAACCTGTGCCTGCCCCACCACTGTGTTTTGGAAGCACGCAACCTGCCTGGTTTTACAGATTTACAGCTGGAGAGGAATTTTTTTTCTCAGGCTAAGGCGTACCTCAAGTCACACAATATCTGATTTAGTTGACAATTAAATGAGATTATGGACCTTGGACTTTAGAGTTGATGCTGGAATGAGTTAAGACTTTTGGGGCTGCTGAGAGGGAATGAATGTATTTTTCATATGAAAAGGATGTGAATTTGGGGGTACCAGGGGCAGAATACTATTGACTGAATTGTGTTCACTTCCCCAGATTCATATATTAAAGCCCTAACCTCCAATGCATTGGATTTGGAAACAGGGGTTTTAAGAGGCAATTAAAGTTAAATGAGGTCCTAAGGGTAGCGTCCTTATCCGGTGGGACTGGTGGCGTTATAAGGAGAGGAAGAGAGAGGCATTCTCTCGCTCTCCACATGCACACCTTGAGGAAAGGCCGTGTGAACAGTCATCTGCAAGCCGGGAAGAGAGCTCATAGGAACCAGAGAGGCCAGCACCGGAGAAATGCATTTCTGGTTTTTAAGCCAGCCGAGCCGGTCTGTAGGGTTTTGTTATGGCAGCTTGAGCTGACTAATACAGGGGAAAGATAGGACCTGGATAACCTGGGGCTGTAATGACAAATAACGTGACAACCTGAAAAATAAAAGTAAACTTTAACCATGTGGGCTAACCATGGGAAAATTTGGGATTTTAAACCCTTTGTGGTTATTTTGGCCAGTTTTTGGTAACTTGATTGGAATACTTTTTAAATACTGCAATGTAATTCACATACCATAAAATTCACCCTCTTAACGTGGATTTTAGCAGTAATTCATATTACTATTTTTTTCATTTTAAAAAAAATCTGGATTATCTTTGAGGCATTTCTGAACAGAAGAGGAATTTTCTTTCACGAGGCTGAGAAAAAAAAAGCGAGCTGACTGTACGAATAAAACCCTGAGCACACCCAGCCCCCAGAGCTGTGCCAGCTGCAGGGAGCAGCCGCCTGTGTACACACAGCTCCGCGGCCGAGGGCCTTACCCAGAGTGGCGAGGAGCAGGCCCACCACCTGCGGGTCGGTGGCCAGGGCCGGCCCGATGCCCGGGTGGATGGCCAGGTTGGCGAGCACGCGGGTCAGCTTGATGAGCACGTCCTCCACCTGGGCCTGCGGCGTCTGTGGCGTGGGCTGCTCATCTCCATCCCCTGATGGCCTCTCGGGATGCAGGTCCAGCTCGTAGAAGGCGCGGAACAGTGACAGCAGGGTCGGGATGCTCTCTTTCTCTTTGAAAAACTGCTCACGAGCCTGGTTGTTTTTCGCTGTCAGGTTGCCAAGAATGAAAACAATACGAACGACCAAGTCCTGCAATAAATGACAGACAATGGGTTTCAAGTGCACAGCGGCTGGGACAAATTGTTGGAAAGAGTTCAGTATTTCATTTACTCATGATTTAACTAATAGTGAAAGGGAACACGTCTGGCTTGGACTAACTTGTACAGGAGTTGATTCCCAAGATTGGTGCAAATTGACAGAGGTGATTAAAGCAGAAGACAAACTGGTCGATGCTATATAATTAGAAGGTCTATTAACTTCAGATCCTTCATGGGGAATGCTGGCTGGCCTTTCCTCCCTCTCCTCCCTGTTCCCCCCTCCCCCCGCCCCCCGCCCCCGCCAACTAGTGGACTGGGATATCATTACTAAGAACAATACATTAGGTAAATCTAAGCTTGTTCTGGACGATCCGGATCTTTTCCTGCAGGTTCACCTGTGGAAGCCCTGCGTTTCTAAACATCAGGCAATAACGTTTGGTCAGATTGTGTTACAGCGGGGTGTTGGCGGCATTACTGACGTTTGGGGCTGGATAATTCTTTGCTGGGCGCTAGCTGCCTTGTGTTAGCATTCCTGGCCTCTACTGCCAGATACCAGTAGCACCTCCCCAGATACCATAGCCAGAAATGACCCCTGGGGACACCACGGCCTTATCTCTGCATACCACTTTACAGCAGGACTGGACTTGTCTTTCTTGACCTGGGTAGTGGGTGACACCTTTACAACTGTTTGCTAACTGGTACATATGTGTTTCATGAACTTTTCTGTGTATATGATATATTTCACAAAAAATTAATAAATGTTTCTAAAAACCCCAAGATGAGTACATTTTACAACTAAACCAGATACAGCAACAATTACGTTCCTAATTCGACAACAGACCTATGAGTGTGGTCGACCTTGCACACGGTGGTGAAGGGGGTCCTGGGAGGGAGAGATTTGAAAGGAGAACTTATGACCGGTTGCAACCGGCTTGCGTGCTAGTGGTCTTGTGCGGGCGCTGTGCTATTTTACAGACAAGGAGCCAGCCTGGAGAAGGGCCGGGTCCGGCAGCCAGCGAGGGCAGAGTCAGGCTGTGAACCCCGCATTGCCCAGCCCCGGAGTCCTTTCTGCATCCATGCCCTACTTCCCACGTGTTTGTCGTTTAGTAATCTCCTCCTTGGACTTGCCTTCTTTCAGAACAGCTAGGGAATGATCTCCTTTTAAAATGCAACTATGTCACCGGGAGGGATTCCAATAAACTTTGTTTATCAGATTAGTAGTTACCAGCAGCCTTAGAGAAAAAGGCCACAGGCAGAGGAGGACGGGGCTGTAGGTAAAAGCAGGCTCCCTTAGCGGTCATCTTTCTTCAAAATACAAAGGAGCTCTACCAACCCTCACAGGTGGCTAATCCAGGAAGACTCAATGCTGCTTTTCTTTTAAAAGTTCCCTCGGGCCCCTCCCACTTCTAAGATTCTTTCATTCTAACATCTCTGTGGTCCCAGCGTGGCCTAGGGACCTGGGGAGAAGAAACGAGGTGGTGAGGCAGGAAGGGTTCACACTGCTAGGAGCCATCTCTCCCTGCCTTCAGAGAGGAGAAGGAGGGGGCGGTTCCTGGCAGCAGTGATGCCAACTGCAGGATGGCATGTGAGATCCACGGAAGGGGCCGGCAGATTGCGCAGTCTGCCTCAACACGCTTCCAGCAACTGCTGCGCTCACTGTGTCTGTCGTCTTTCTCTGGGTTGGCTGAGGCTTTCTCCCCTCCTCCCCTTTCTCAGAACATTCTCCACGAATGGAGGGAGCACGGGACAGGCCAAAATAGAAGCAGTCTCCAGGAGGCTGGCGGGAGTGGCGTTTCCTTTTTCCCAAGCCAGCACTTGTCTTGACTCATCTGGAATCCTGCGAGCGGAGGCTGGGCAGGAGGGCGCTGCGGGCCCTGAGCTCACCACCGAGGCCTCCGCACCGCCCCGGGCACAGAACTGCGCCAAGATGGCATGAGAGAGCGGTAATGGACGGTTCCACCGCCACAGTTCATCTCAAGTCTACAAAACATCCCTTCACTGAAAATCCTCTCAAGATCTGAAAAACTGGACAAAGACCAAAAATCACTGATTTGCAGAGACCGCGATTCCACAGCAGGAAACTCTTTCAATATGCAATTCTCTTCTGAGATACAGATTCTCTCCTTCCTTCTTAGACAATATCTGAGAACTACATATAAATCGACACTGCACTTTTATGGCATTTCTACTAAATTTAACCCAAAGCTGCTTATTCCTACCACAGCTATGAAACAGCAAAATGAAGATGAAATAGGAGAGATACATTTAAAAAAAAAAAAAGAAGGCAGTCTAGTATAACCAGTTCATAATGACTTTCTAATTTTGCTTAAAATGGCATGGCCTCGGCCTAGCAACAGCTGTGGCCAACCAGCGCTCAGACAGGTACACCTACTGTAAGAAGCCTGACCTCAGCCTGTGGGATATTCTCTTTGGTTTCACATGTTGTGCCCTAATGAGTAAGCACGTTACGCAATCTGCATGAGCCCCACAGGGCGGTAGATAAAGCTGCTTTCACAGGAACAAAGCAAGGAGCAGGACGCTGCTGAGCAGCAGCAGCAGCAGCAGCAGCAGTGGGTGTTGAATGTTACGTTCCATGTGAGAGAGATTGGCCTCAAGTCGAAGAAGGAGATGCCCCTCTACTCAGAGATCTGGCAACTGATCCAGAGGCTCACTGACCCCAAAGTCCAACACAGGTGAAGAGAAGAGGCAGGACTTGAATAGATGCCCCAACTACCATCAGCCCATCTCCTCATTCCAATGACCCTCATCTTCCTACTCTGCCAGACTCAGCCCAAGGGACGTTTTTGATTCCTCCCTGCCTCACTCCCCTCCCCAACCAGTCACCAAGTTCCCTCTGCTCTATCATCTCAAAATCTTCCCCCACTCCCTCCTTCCCATGCTCACTCTGGGTAACCTGTTGGGAGACTCTTGTCGGAGACCCTTGACGAGCTCCTCCCTGTGAGATCAACGTTAACACCACTTCTTGAAGAACAGTCCTACGCCATGTCCTTGCTCAAAACATCCACTGCCTATCCAGTGTCAAAGCCAGAACCTAATGCACCATCTGGCCCCATGGGACCACTTCTGCGTTACCTCACACGGCTCCCCGCCCACAGCCAGCCACAGGGAACGCCTTTCTCCCTGACTCCCACACCCTTCCTATCCACCTTCAAATAACTGATGTGCATCATGTTGACCTAGGGAAGGAACCACCTTGGGCTGTCACAGAAAGAATAAACGATGTTCTGCAGACTTCACTTAGGAGTACTTCTAAGTAAAGAAAAACATTTTAGAAAGATTTTTAAAAACAGGTTTAAATTGCAGGGGTTGTCAATGTGCTTAACCAGAAAATTACGTTAATCAACATGCTCTGTTTAAAACTTGGTTGGAAAGTTCTTGTGCAATCTGGAACTGAGAGCTGAATCCGGATTTGCAATTTATAACGTTTACCCAGCCTCCCACCCTCATTCAAAACCCCGACGTGAACTGAGCTTATCGGTGGCCAGAGACCCGGTAAGTTTTACCAGTTTAGAAGCCAGGCTGCACTGCTGTAAAAATGCTAACGAACCGTAGGGTACGGAAAGTGGGCCAACAGTTTGCATAAGCGCCGAACCATGTACAATGGAAGGATCTGGGATGCTGGAGACTCAAAACCCAGAACCTAGTGGAAAGTCATTTAAAAACCAGAAGAGATTATACTTGATGCCTCCATCCATCTGTCCATCCCATCAGCACTCATTTACTGAGCAGCCACTATGTCAGTGCTTTCCAACCGGTGTGCCACCGGTTTTTAAAACGTGCAATACCCGACTAGTCAGCGGCACTGACCTCTTTACCTTTAGATTCTCAAATAAAAAAATGGCAAAAGCTGTCTGGTGTGAATGAATCAAAATTGTACCTTTTTTTGTGTCAGATCAGCAAAATATATATGTTTTGGTGTGCCATAGAATTTTAGGAATTAGTTTGTGTGTGCCGTGAGATGGAAAAGGTTGAAAATCACCGCACTGTATGCTTCTGAGCACCGGGGCAATGCTACAATCCCACTGCATCCTGTTCTTTAAGGCAGGGTTCCGTCCTGAGTCGGGGAAGAGCCAGTTCCACAAGGGCAAAGCCGCAGGAGCTGGAAAGCATGAACAAGCCGAGGGCTTGTTGTGCTGCCTGCTCGCCCGGTCAGGGGAGCAGACCAAGGCCAGGGCTGAAAAAAAGAAGCAAGCTCAGCCAAATGCTTTCGGCACCCACTGGGAACGCGCCGGCAGAGGGCCTGGGAAGAGAGCCACCGGGCACGCTCCTGCCAGGCAGAGGCGGAGGGGGAACCGCAGCCAAGTGGCCACAGAAAGGCGCCAGAGTGAGAGGTGGAGGGGCTGCCTCACCCATCCTCACCGGCCCCAGAGAGGACGAGGGGAGAGCGAGGTCATGCTATCCCTGGGCAGCCGCACAGCCGTGCTTGCGTTAGAGAAGAACAGTGAGAAGAGTGGCAGATGTCCCTGTGCCGCAGCCCCCACTGTCCCGTCATTCCTGGTCTCATTTTCAACACCACGATGCCCAAGCATCCAGGTCAGACGGGGCTCACATGGCTGGAGACGGCGCTTAAGGGGAAGTCCGAACGGAATGAGAGGCATGACTTTCAAAGCAGCACAAGCAAGGACGTGTCTGGCGGCTCCCGTACAGGGCTGCGCAGGCTCCGATGACGGCCCTACCTCTGGGAGCTGTGTTAACCCGCCTCCCCACCCACCGGACATTTCTACAGGTGGAGAGGGTCAGCCAGGCAGTTGTTCAATAGACGTGAGTGACGGGGATAGAGATAAGGGTTCTTTTTTTGGGACATTGACCTTTTGCAGAAATATTGCCAGTCTTAAAAGTCATATTGGAGGCATTTTATCAGATACCCTGCCCGGCAGATATTTACAGAAGAAATGAGAAAAGTCCCTTTATGTCCTTTCAAGACACAAACCCAAACGTGTTTTGCGGAGATGCTAAATGCAACCACGCCGA